TTTTTGCTTGGGACTCAGGAAATCCGTTTTCCCTTTTCTTGACGTGAATTATATTTTTTTTTGTTACTTTTTTTCTTCTTTATATATATATATATTCACTTTTTTCATGCTAAGATTACTCGAGACAAGATCAATCTACTCTGAATGATGCGAAGATTTGGTAGGCCTCTTGAGCGGATACAATGCTTTCGTAGCGTCTCTTATATAGGTGGTCTTTTTAACTTTAAAATTGTGCCGACAGAGATGTTTCCTTACCCTCGCAGAAGGGTGGACGGCGAGGAAGCTGAAAATCTTCAGTCCGTGCTGGAAAGTATTCGAACCAACAACAATATCCTTGGGAACCTTTATGGTGCAAGAATCGCTACAGAGTATGGTGGATTGGGACTAGGGCACACGGCACATGCCCTTGTCTGTGAGGAGTTAGGTAACAATTGTCTTGACAAGTTACTGGCTACTATTCGTCACAGCGGTGTATGTACTCAACTCTTGGCCTCTACTGGCGCCAACGACATAAAGGGAAAATACTTAACATCGATGTCTGATGGGACGATAAGAATGGGATGGGCAATTGAAGAGGATGGTTTTGGAACTGACCTCAGCATGAATTCTACCCAAGCTGTAATGCATGATGATGGGAGTTATACTCTGACAGGCCAGAAACGCTGTGATGCTGCGGCATCGGCCACACATTTTTTGGTGTTAGCCAAAACACTAACTCAGAAGTCTTCAGAGGACGGTGCTACTGTTGCGACCCGTAGCTCTTTGTTTATCTGTGAAAAAGAGGCGCCAGGCCTAAAAATTGAAGGGGACAGTATTGTTCTAGAAAATACCCCTGTCGCTGACGTTGTTGGTGTTATGGGTGAGGGATTCAAAGATGCAATGATTGCGCTCTTTACGGAGGAATATCTTTATGCAGTATCCTTGTTGGGCACCATGAAACGTCTCGTGGAGGAATTGCAAAGTACAAATACAGGAGGAGGAGTTGCAGAAATGCTTCCTTCCTTTGCCTGCGCGATTTATGCCATGGAGTCAAGTTTGTATGCACTGACAGCTAACATGGATGTACCCAGAGAAGATAGTTTGCTGGAGTGCACCCTTGTGAATGCCTTTGTACAGGCCACCACAGCTCAGTGTTTACATAGGCTGGAATTGTTGAAATCGCCCAATCCGACGATAGACAACTACTTCCGTCACGCCAAGAAAATTCTTAGCTTAATGGAGCCGCAAGATTTCCTTTATGCCACAGCTGTTTGTTGTGGTGTTGAGGACTACGGACTCTTTTTTCAGCAGGCTTCAACGTTACAGATGATGCAAGCAAGAGCAATTCGTTTCATGGGTGTACATGATCGTGTGCCTATAAAGAATATTGCAGAAGCGTCACGAATCGACGAAGCGGTGGTGAAGTTCGGCGAAGCTGTAGAGGCAACGTTTGTAAAAAATGGTTCACAGGTTCCCTATCAGCAGCTTCTTCTTAATCGGCTTGGGGAGGCTGCCTCACTTCTGTACGCGGCGTCAGCCGTCGCGTCGAGAGCCTCGATGTGTGCTACAAAAGGACTTCCTTCAGCAAAGCTTGAGGGAAAACTGGCGACGGCCTTTATCCAATTTTCGGTTGAGCGCGCCCTTTCCCTCAGTGAAGAATGCTGCAACATTGGCAAGACCGCCGACACCGTTTATAGGCGTATCGCCCTTGAGGTTTGCGAGGCGGCACTGCAGTAGTTCAGGGAAGCGAAGGGTAATGCTAAGCAAGAAGAATAAAAATGAGTATCGCAAATCTATCACATAAGAAAAAGATAAAAGAAACTAAAAGAACACCAACTTCAAAAAATGGATGCTGAAATTTGAAGCAGCTAAGAAGAGAGAGAGAAAGGAAAGAAAGAAAGAGATCTAATAAAGTAGAGAAGGTAAAGAAAGAAGGAAAAAAAACAACAACAAGAGTGGGCTAGAACTCTGCTTGAAGATACACTGGGGGGTTTCCTATCCCTTTCTATTATAGTTCCCTATTACAGGCAGCTTTCTTCTTTTCTCACCCCTTCGTATTTGTTTCTAAAGTGTGGCCGAAGTATTATTATTATTATTATTATTACTATTATTATTATCATTGGCCATTAGTATCATCACAAAGGTGTGGCGAATAGTACGCAATGCTTCGGCAGAGTGTGGGGCTTCTGATGCGGCATATAGGACAGGATGTACCGAAACGACATACCCACTTTGTCCTGGAGTCTAGACTAATGTACGAAAAGTCATTTCGCGACAATTGGCTGTACAGTGTTTGCCGTGCCGTTTCTCAGCTCGATGAGCCGTTATCCAAGACGGTGTCAGGAAATCGACAGAAGATGTTACAACGCAAGGTGACATGCTTTCAGTATAATCAATATGGACTATTCAAGGTGCCGTATTATCGTTTAGCCAACGTCGATCGCTATTACGCGGTCCAGGGTGTTCCAGGAACGCGGGAATGGGTTCCATACGCCAACGTTTCGTACTGGACGATGAACAAGATGGTGCGTAGTGGTAACTTATTGGTGCATCGGGTGCATTACACCGGCTGGGGCACGGACACGCATCTCAAGAGGGGTGGCTGGGATCATCGTTGGAATAAAGTCATGCAACGCAATACTCTGCAGTACTCTCGAATCTAGAGCACCCGTGCGTGATGAAAAGTACTGTCGTTAGTGTGACGTGGTCTTTACGCGAAGTTATTATTGTTGTTGTTGTTGTGCTTTTTTTTGTTTTCGTCGTCATCCCAATTACGGAGGGATGGGCCTGTGCCTGTGCCTATCTTCTTTTTCTTTTTGATTTTCCCCCACTCCAATTCTCTCTTTTTTTTTTGGTGTTTACTTGCTGCGTTTTACGAACGGCCGCTGAGCATGCTCAAGACGGGTCCGAAGTTGATGGGTCGAACGGTCCGGATCGGGGACACGGCCTTCATACGCCGTGTGATTTCTCAGGAGGACGTCGCGGCGTTTGGTCCCCTCATTGGGGACAACAACCCTATCCACGTCGACGAAGGTGCGGCAAAAGCCGCCGGATTTCCCTCGACTATAGTGTACGGTATGCTGGCTGGCTCTCTCTTTTCGGGGCTCCTCGGCTCCGAGTTGCCCGGGCCCCAGTCTGTTTATTTGAGCCAGACACTTCGATTTGTGGCACCTGTCTTCGTCGGGGACGAGGTGGAGGCGCGGGTGACGCTGACGCAGTTCAAGAAGGGCAAGTGCTTGCTTGCCTTCCGCACGACGGTGAGCCGCATTGACCGCGAAACAGGGGAGGAGACGCTCTGCGTCACGGGCACTGCAGTGGGGCTGAACAAGACGGTCACCTTTGAAGGGGATAGTGAGTGGACGGTGCGGCTCGCGGAGTGAGGGAACGGGCGAAAAAAGAGAAAAAAAGCGAAATAAATAGTCACACACACAAAAGCAAAAATTAAAAAAAATTAAAAAACCAGTATCGTGCCTTTTTCTAGATTTATTGCAGCAGTGAAGCCTCGGAGATGCCGGTTGCGTGATTTGGGTGGATTGAAGGGAATCCGAAAAGAACTGATGCGCAAGAGGAAAGAGGAGCCCATCGATGCATGCGCCCACGGCCGCCTTCTTTTTTTTTTTTGGTTTTCTATTTTGAGCTCTTTTTTGGGTCTCTGCCCCCTCATGGCCCGCGCGTGAACGGGGAGGAGCGTAATAAGTAAGGCCCAACGTGAGAGGGGGATAGTGAGAAAAACAAACAAAGAAACAAAACAAAAGAAAAAGAAAAACAAAAAAAGAAGAAGGGCGCCCTGGACCTAACAATACAGTGAGGGCCTGACATTAATGGCGTTGCTGCGGTTGCTCGACACGGAGGCGGGGGGTGAGGGACGTCACTGAGGGCCCGTGTGCAGGCGGAGTAACAAAAAAAACAAAAGGGAAAAAGAAACAACAACAACATCGTCGCAGGTAAATAAACACGAGGAAACAGGGAAGATAATAATATCTTTTTTTTGAGAAACACAACGAGTTTTTTTCTTTTTCTTTTTGCTTTATTTTTCTGCTTCCGCTGCTTACGAATTATTCCTTCCGTTCTCCAGCCTTGGCTGTCTCATTCTCCTTGTGATTTGTAGCTGCCAGTCCAATTCAAGCAAGCAAGTTAAAAAGCGCAAAAAGAAATCGGGGCGTGAGAGGCGTCAGCTCCGTGTCACCAACCTCGTCACGCGGCTGTGGAGGGAACTTGGCAGACGCCTGTGTCGCTTGCTGCAGAGCGAGGGGGACTGTGATGATTCGCTGGGCCGTAGACCTCGCGGGGGTTGACGCGGACGCGGACCTGCAGCGCGATGACCGCATGAAGCCGTACGCGGGTCCCTCCTCAGGGCGGAAAGAAACGTTGAAGCCCGCACTCGTCACCCTTGCTGACCCCACTGCATCTGGCCCTGTGGGGAAGGTCGTCACGCTGACGAGACAGGAGCTCAGCCAACGGCAGCAGCAGCGCGTGGAGGAGGCGCTGGCAGAGAATCCGTTTGCCCTAGTTGGAAGCAGCGTATCCCAGCCAAAGTGCGACGCCGAGGTTGCAAAGGGGGTGGAGGTTCGCGTGTTCAGCACCTTCACGAGCGTGCAGGGAAAGCGGAGTGTGTGTACGGTTCAGCCACGGCAGGCTCCCTTTCGTGGGGTGGATGTAGTGAATGCATTTCTCCAGCAAATAGTTGTATCGGATGATCGCTTGTCGGCTCGATTTTCAGCAAATCCGCGACTTTATAAGTTATACATAGCAGACGACTTCACTGGTGAGGAGGAGATGGTGCTCCAGTTGGATGGGGCGGCCCAAAATTTTACCTGTTTTGCGGTTCAACCACTTCCGGCGGCGAAGCTGTTTTTGTTTCCACAGCGAACACAGTTGCTGCCGACTGTGGCGGAGGACATTAACTTGACGGTAGAAATACGCCCTTTAGACTCTCAGGCCAAAACTGTCAAGCGGCAGGTGCTTGTGCCTGCCGACATGCTTGCGGAGAGTCTAGAACAAGCCATTGTTAGTCGGCTTCCAGGGAGTGGGTTGGTGCCTGGTTCGCTGCGCATCAAGTATGGGCCGGTAGAGCTGAACATCAACGAATACTACAACTTTGGGTCCGGGTGCGGCAACATGGATGTGCCAATAGCCGAGCGGACTATTTTGTCCCTCTACCGTTTCGGGGTCACGGAGGGGCTGCTGCAAGGACGAATTCCTGACGAGAACCCTGAGCTTTCTTCGGTGGTGGAGGACATTTTTATTGACATGGACGCCGAGGAGGCGCAGACGTTTCAGCAGTTTGATGTAATTCGCATCAATCGATATGGTGCACGTCAGCAGCGCATTCTCTGCATTGACGGGGAGCGGCTGTACACGGTGCGGCCCAACGTGGATCGCTCAGGGGCGGCCCAGGTAAACGAGGAGAAACCCATCATGGACATTGAGGAGGTTATTACCTCCCCGACAAGGTCCAAGTACTTGGAGATTCACTACAGCCGCACCTCAAACCACGAGGACGATCACATTGAGTGCACCACGGCGTACAACCGCGCCTTGCTGGAGGAGAAGCTGCGAGTTCTGCGACGAGAGATGCGCAAGAGGAACGATGAGGAGCGGCAACTTAAAGGCAACGAGACTGTTTTTTCCCGCATTTTCGGCCGGCTGCGGTTGGGGTTTCATAAAAACTAACGTTGAAATAGACACTCACGATGATGTTCATCGCTGTTGGTTTTGCTTTTTGTTTTGAGAGGCGTGCGGTAATAGTGTGGAAGATGCGGCCTTGCAAATCATTTTCTCTATACAACCTTTCCGCACCTTTGT